TTTAAAGCTTCTAATGTAAATAAAATAATGTATTTATGTCTAAATATAATATTTATTGTAAACTAGTCACGACACGAATCAAGGAGTGTAGTTTATTTTATTATAAGTTTCTATAAAATAATTTTACAGTCATAGATCCAGACTTACGAATAAAAATTACATAAATTTAACTTACTATAGAGTTTTAATGTTAGATAAAGAGTTGCTGCTGTTATTTTTTTATTGAATCCCAATTTTGTCAATGTAAATGTTTTTTACAGGATTCTAATGCTTAGAACAGTGGCAGCAAATTTTATCGTTTCAAGGGCCGATAAATCACTTTCTAGAGATGATGCTGTTCTACACTTTTTAGAAGATATTTCCAAATATTATGAGACTCTTTTTACTGATGGTATTGTTAGCAAAATAAAAAGGAGAAAGCCGAATTTAAGAATGGGGCAATATCATATACATTCCCAAATCTCCCTTTATGCTTGTATTTTAACAATATTAAATATATTAACTGTGTTTTATTTTGCTCTTAACTGCTATAGTTAGGTACAATTCAAAAAAATTTAGACAAAAAATTGTACTTACCACATTTCACCATTTAACCAGTCTTTTCGAATTGGGTCATACCTACCTAAATTACATTTTATATAGATAAAATTAAACAATTTATCAATTAAAACATGCGAGACTTATTTAGAAATAAATACAACAGTATATTCTGTGCTTTATTTGGCAATAAACAAGTTTATTTTTATTATTTTGATAAAATGTAAAATTCCCATAAGAAGTCATGAATTTTGAATAGCGGTACTAGCACCAGCGCCCTTGCGGTGAATTAAAAAAGCTCAATTAGCGTTCTTTTTTTGGGACCCTATTTCGAGTATGTCGATTCGCCTCCTTATCTCTAGTCTTCATAATCGGGACCAATCGAGTAATTTAATATTTAAAAAACCTATAAAAAGAAGATGCAGATTGTGTCATAGTCAGAAAAAAACTGTAATGCACATGTATATGTGGGTATATACCCACATTTTTTTGAATGATATCATTCAAAGCCAACGTTGTGTTCACGGAACTAATTTTTTGTATGTTCTTATATTATAATAAAAAAAAAACACTGAATTATTTCTTTTATTTCGTCCCCTCAGTGCAACAACTATATAACTTGAAATTTATAGTTTTGAGAAAATCCACTTTAAAGATTCAAAACGCAAAAAAAATACACCTGTTCCTGTTAAGTAATCAAAAATATTTAATATCTATACAGATATATTGCATATCAAATTATGAGTTGTTAATTTTGGAAATAATTAGGTTTTATATATTTGCAGAATTTAATCAAAAACTTGAGATATCTAGTTGTTGCTGAAAAAAGAGTAAAGTTATCTATTTATAACCACTAACAATTAAACGCAAATTACCTAATAAATACAACTTTATTTTGAATAAAAAATTAACAAGATTAGTTTAAATAAAACCCAAAAGATTCCACCCTTGATAAAACTTAAGTGTCAATATCAATGATTTCGGTTTGGGAATCTTCCATGTTTTAAGGCCGTTTACGTTGGTCTTCTTGGAATGGAAGACTTTCAAAAATGCTTTATACTCGCTAGGGAAGCCCAGAGGATTCATTTTGAACAAAGACATAAGGTCGCCATATTTTTTTTAAGTGGTAGTTGACTTTGATACAAAGGCTCTTGGGTATTATTTGAAGACGACATACGTGTTTTACGTTTAAAATTTAGACGTCTAAAATCCCCATCAAAATATTCTATAAAATTAATAATAAATGGCGTCGATTTTGAAAAGTTCAACCAGTATATTTTCTGCCCACTAACCAAGTTATGGCTTTTAAAAAGACACCGTAAAAACAATTTAGCAGCACAGAAACAAACCTGTTGTTTCAAGCACACAACTAGATATCTCATAGCGACCAAGAAGATGCCGGCAGATAACTGAATAATACCAGTGCTAAAACTAGATATATCAAGATCTCTAGTTATAAAATGTATATATTGGGAGTTAACTGGTTTTAGTCAATCTTCAAAAATAGGTTTGGTTGCTCGTACGTGATATCCAGTTGTTGCATTGAAAAGAGCATGAAAAATAGGACAAAATGCATAAATTTCGAGTTATCTAGTTGTTGCACTAAGGGGGCGATTTGATACTGCAATAAATCATTTTAAAAAAATATTTCATTACGTTACCTAACTATTTTGTTAATGCTTGCCCAATAATAGGTTAACGCCGTAATGTTTTTCTTTTGTTCACCGTATAAGTAAAACAAATTAAAAGAATAATATTTTTAGTATAATAAATTATTTATAAACAAAATCAACAATACTAATTACATACTCAAATCTTATTAAAGATTTAAACAAATAATTTATTACTCAAAATTACATATTTTTACTTAAAATCTACTAACCAATATTATCACATTTATATCTAAAACTTACGTAGGTACTTTATAACAATAGAAACTATTTACATAATTTTTATAAAAACAAATTATATCTATTTATAAAAAGTAAAAACATAAATATTTATTTAATATTTATATGTAGATCACTAACTTCGTATAATTAATGTATTATGGGATTTTATTTTAAAATGTTTCTAAAGCTTTTTAATGTATGGATTTGTAGAATCATGTATCACTGTTAGTAACTTTTTTTTGTATATGAAAATCACACTAATGTTTAGTAAACGCATGATATCTACTGCCATGATTATAACACATTTTTTTACAGCCAAAGATAAATACTTCTGCCGATATTTTAGGTTCTTTCGTTCGCTGTTGGTGCAGTGTCCACCAGTGTAAATTACACCAGTTACACCACCTTATTTACCCTAATTTACTTTCTCCATATTCCTTATACAGGGTGTAACTAAATAAGTGTAAAACATTTAAGGGGGCGATTCCTCATCGAAAAAAAGATAGGATCTTTTATATAAAGAAACTTCATTGGAGCATCCCTTGTTAAGATAACAATTTTTTTCACAAGCACTTAACAAGTTACAATATTGAAATTAACCTGTCATTTTCTACTACCAAAAAGACACTTAGTCAGTAATTTATTTGGTTTACCCCATGGTTGTAAGGGGTGGAAAACGCAACCCCTAAAATTTCGTTCCAACGTAACTTTTTGTATTATTATTTGTTTACCATTTAAAAACTTATTTCTGATAGCCTGTATCATTCTAAACAAAAAATGTCTCTTAAATTTTTTGCCCAAAATAAACCAGTTCGCAGCAAAAAATTATTTTACGAACAACTATAGAGATACATCGTCATAAATGCAAACTGGATTTATTGTTATTTTGTAGTTACTACCTGCATTAAATGATTAAAAAGAGGAATAATCAAAACTAATTTATTAATAACCAAACATACAACATGTAGAAATCATAGTAAATGTTCAATATGTCTACCTTCAGACATTACGCATGCGTCTAGACGTCGGCGCATTGAACCACGTATTCGCTCAAATAATCCTAGAGTCTCTCTAATTACCCTGCACGCATCGATGATGCGGTTCCATAAGTCCTCTACATCGCGAACAGGAGTACGATAAACCAAATGCTGCAAATGGCCCCAAGTAGAAAAATCGAGAGAATTGAGATCCGGGGATCGAGCGGGCCAATTATGTGGTCCTCCTCGACCTATCCACTGATTTGCATATGCTCTAGTTAATTGCTGACGTGCTACTTGACTAAAATGGGCGGGAGCCCCATCATGCATAAAAAACATATCCCTTCTGACGCCCAAAGGAACTTCCTCCAGCAGTTCGGGATGCACTTCTCTTAAAAATTTAACGTATGCCTCACCATTTAATCGAGGAGGTAGAAAATGAGGCCCAATTAAATAATCACCAATAACTCCGGCCCACACGTTAAGAGAAAAGTGTTCTTGATGGTGAGTTTTCATCAGCCCATATGTGGTAATTATGAAAAATAATAATCTTGTCCCTAGAAAAACTACATTCGTCTGTGAATTCGATCATCTTCAGAAAGTCACGATTTCTTCTAATCATTTCCAGCATCCAATTGCAAAATTCAAGACGGTTCGGAAAGTCTCGCGGTAAGAGTGCCTGTATTCGTTGCATATGGTAAGGGTATAAGAGATGTTCCTTTAAAATTCGAAATACCGTCATATGATCAACATTTCGCTGGAAAGCAATCTTTCTAGTACTGGTAGTAGGTTGTTCTTCAATAAAATTAAGTAGTGCTTCCTCAAGCTGTGGTGTTCTTACTTCTCGATGGCGACCACAATCGTGCTTTATTTTGTTAAATGAACCATATTCTCGTAATCGTTGATGAAGTCGGGCAAATATTCTATGTGAAGGATGCTGCCGTTGAGGATACATTTCAGCATATCTTCTAGAAGCTTCTAACCCATTCCCCTGCGACAGACCGTAAACGTAATGCATATCAGCCATGTCCTCATTTGTGTATGCCATTTTAATAACAAGTGAATTATTAAAGTAACAAATTACGAACAGAACAACAATACACAATTGGTATTACTTCAATTTCAAAAATTTACAAACTGACAGCTTGATTTCAATGCAATTGTCAGTATCGCTAATAGCGGCCTACTAGATAAATTAGTTTCGTATTTTCGTTTTATGGTGATATCTATCTTGTTCGTAAAATAATTTTTTGCTGCGAATGGTTTATTTTGTGCAAAACATTTAAGAGACATTTTTTTGTTAAGAATGAAACAGGCTATCGGAAATAAATTTTTAAATGGTAAACAAATAATAAGACAAAAAGTTACGTTGGAACGAAATTTTAGGGGTTACGTTTTCCACCCCTTACAACCATGAGGTAAACCAAATAAATTACTGGCTAAGTGTCTTTTTGGTAGTAGAAAATGTCAGGTTAATTTCAATATTGTAACTTTAGTGCTTGTGAAAAAAAATTGTTAAACAAATTTTATGTACACCCTTTAAGGGGCTGCATCTTAACAAGGGATGCTCCAATGAAGTTTCTTTATATAAAAGATCCTATTTTTTTTCGATGAGGAATCACCCCCTTAAATGTTTTACACTTATTTAGTTACACCCTATATACATGTCGAGTGTAATAATTCACTCCTGCTAAATAGCTGGTGGAGAAAACATCCATCAGTGAACAACACAACGCCGACAAGAAGGTATAGTGGGTTTTACACCGGGCCAAACGAAAGGTTTAGTGTCCGTTGGTGTAGTTCATTCCTACACCAGTGGGACGAACGAAAAACCTATTACCTACCCTTGGATAAACAATTTCTTTATCTGATATTTACACACATTCGGTGTCAGGACAGGCTCAGTAAGGAATTTTCAACATTGAAACAATGCTACCCAGATAGCACAGGACGTCCTAAGGACGTCCAATACATGTCCATTTAACGTCTGTACGTCCGGGACCTATTATGGACGTTTTAAGTATGTCCAGTTTAGTAAATCCTCTGGACGTCAAGAAATAGATATCCGCAAAACGTCAATTGTACGTGCTTTACTATATTTCCATGGATTCACATTCGCATTGTATTATTATTTGGTTATATTATACAAAAAACATATATAATGAGATAATATAAATAATTATTAAAGATGGCATTGTCCCAATATCCAATTGAATGAAGGCCAAATAGACAAAAACGAAGAAGTTCTTTTGCAAGAAAGTGACATTGTTGACAAGTGACTTTTTATTTTTATTTATAAATGCCGCGTTTGAGAATCCACATCGGATGCATTTTTTACATCTCGAGCGTTTTGTTATCCACATCGGACACATCTACTAAATCTACATCTGCGTTTGTTTATCCCAGATGTACCTGTTCAGATTACATTTTTTACATCTCGATTTGAAATGAGATGTTCATTCCATGCCAGAAAGTAAGTGTTCTGTGAAGCCTTGTTTGTCAATTTATCCTTTGTTTATGCTAGCATGAATATAAAAGTGATTAGTTTGTTTAATTTTTGTTTATATTTTAAATTTAGGTTGATTTGTAGTCTCAAAAGTCAAATTTAATAAGTATAAACCTCTAACTTGTTATTGACATTTTATTACGTGACCAAATAAAGTCTAGAACGTTTGTTTATTACATCTACATTCAGATCTAATTCTCTACCACGTGATAAAAAATTCACAACATCTCAGATGCATCCGATGTGGATTCTCAAACGCGGCATTAGATATGATTCAGATTCAAGCACTGAAGTGAAATATTCCCAGGGCTCAGGTTTTATTGAAAAAAAGTGTTCAATGTTCATGATTCGATGGTATATACATATTATACGAGTACAAGTTCTATCATTCCGCCATTTGTACCATTTTTATATCTGAGAAAGGTGGAAGTTTTTCAAAGCTAAAAGGTTAGTGAATTTATAATGTCTAGCAGGGCAAACTTAAACCAACAGATTGGATTTTCATATTGATCTGCCTTTTATTTTAAATAAACGATTAAATTATTTTCAGGTTTAACTGAGAAGGCAAATATGACCAAATCAAGAAAAAAAAAAACTGCTGTCAATCCAGGCATGGTTGAAAAGAGCAAAGTAGAGGAGTTTTCCAGTGAATACTACAAAGCTAAAAGGTTAGTGAATTCATAATGTCTAGCAAGGCAAACTTAAACAAGCAGATTGGATTTTCATATTGATCTGAATTTTGAATAAGCCATTATATTATTTTCAGGTTCAACTGGGAAGGCAAATATGGCCAAATCAAAAAGAAAAAAAAACAACTGCTCTCAATCCAGGCATGATTGAAAAGAGCAAAGTAGAGGAGAGACGGGATGAATTTGACGAAAAAGTTTTAATAATTTCACTATTTATAGGTTATTTGCTTCCAAATAAATTTTTTTGAAATTATTCATTATTTTCACTAATTTCCTTACATCCTATTATTCCCCATTTGAGCTTTTGAAAAAGTCCATGGAATGTCCTTAAATGGACGTTCTTAAGACATCCTGATTATTAACAACGGGCGTTCAAAATACGTCCATAAGACGTCTACGGCCGTGAAATGGACGTTTTAAGGATGTCCTGAATGTCCAAGCAGGACGTTTTTAGAACGTCCATAAGACGTATTTGTGCTATCTGGGTACCAACAATGAAATAATACTGTCAATGTTAAAAAAACATCTTAGATTCTAAAATGAGAAAAATTACACTTGGCAGATTTTCACAAACATGTTTATTTAAAAAATTTAAATTAAAAATTACTCATAACGATTGTTTCGACCATTTCTAACATTTGAAGAAGAAGTTGTTGTACTTCGATGAGAAATTTTTAATTTTAATTTTTTAACCAAATGTGTTTGCGAAAATCTACCAAGTTTGGGTTTTCTCATTTTAACAATATGAATTTTCATCAAGTAAAGGCCGAAACAATCAAGAATCTAAATTCCAGTTTTTTAAATTCTTGCCTCAAAACTTGAAATCCTAAACAGCCACATTATTGTCTGTACAATTCTCCTTCTTCTTCGCATCCTTACCTTTGAAATAGACCTGAATTTCTTCCAAAGTTTTACCGTTAGTCTCTGGTACAAAATAATAGATAAACACTGTAGATACTCCACAAAATATCGAAAAACAAAGAAACGGTAAAAACATACCGTACCGATCTCTAGTAATTTGAAAAAATTTCGTTGTAGCCGTAGCAGCAGCCGCGAAATACATATCGGAGAAGCACATGGCCACAGCTTTAATGTCCTGATTGAAAATCTCGCTCATAATGATTATAGGAACGTTCTGTAAGCCAAAACTAAAAATTATTATATAAAGAATAAGAGCTACAATTGGTACTAGAGTGAAATTACTAATATCTATACTTGTGGATGATTTTATATAGAAATATATTCCTTCCACCAATAAAGCTAAAGACGCTCCAACTCCAGACACTAACAGTAAAGGTCTCCTTCCTAATTTATCAACCAATGGAGCTCCTATGACAGTGCATACAACCTGTATAGAAAAATACATAATAGCAGCTAGGTGAGCTGATATATTACTACCAGCTTCGTCGAAAATATTTTGAGCATAGAACACGATAGCTGAAGCTCCGCTAAACTGCTGAGCCCCTCTGACCAGCATCATAACCAGTACTGCCCTGTAGTTTCGTCTTACAGTGAACAAGTGTAGTGGATTACTCTTCGTTTGATGGGATAGATCTTCTTTAACGGCTTCGTCTATTCTGGTCAGTTCCGTGGAGGCTAGTTTTGGACCAATGAAGGTTTGAAGGCTTTTTTTGGCATCTGAAATTAAACAGTTTATTCGTATTATCTCTAGTTCAGATACAGAGATGAATGTTGGGCAATTTATTGCAGTATATTGTTATTTTTTATTAGTGATGCCGCGAGACGATACGAGAGAGGCCTCTCTATCGTCTCATAGGGCGAGAGAAAATTGGTCTTTCGTCTTGACAAGAATGCGCTTCTCTCGCTCGAGAGAGCCTTTCTCGCGTCTTATCTCGTTTCGCTCGTGTAAAAAAACATTTAAATTTCAAAAACATGAAACATAAAAAAACTAAAATTTTGAAGGCAAAAACAGCATTTTTCAAGTGATTTGTCTCATTAGTACCCTAACTGGTAATAAGAAACACTTATGGAATCACCTCAGTGTCTCTCTGTCTGTCCATCTGTCACAATCGTTTTATTAAGAGACTATCTGACATACACAATCAGTGGCCCAAATTAGGCGTTAACTAAAAATGTAAATACTTTGTCTTGGAAGTAAATTGGGAGGATGGGTTAAATTGGAAGTTAGAGTTTTTCTAATGCCATCTGTGATACCAAATGAAAGCATTTTGAAGCAAGTTTTCAAAAATATGTTAAACGTGATATCAAATGAAAGCATTTTGAAGCATGTTTTCAAAAATATGTAATACGTTCGTTTGTTTTACTTTTTCTTTGACAGTTTTTTGAAAAAATACTTAAAAATTGCTGTCTTTCCAACTTATCTCCAAAAGTAACCTCAGAGAAATTTGACTGAACCAAAATTATTACGATTGTTGTCCTTGGATAGTTTTTTTTTTATACAAAGGTAGATACCTCTCTGCTGTAGTTAGAATGTTGTTAGAATTTCTTTAGTATATCAATTCAACAAAAAATGCAATTTTTGTTTTAGCTGAAGCTCTACAATACATGACAGAAGGATTAATATTGATACACTTCTCCATTTTTAATGGAATTTGCGTAGCAGCGTGTTGTCGCTCACAGAGCTCTTTGGAATTTCAGTTATTTCACTTATATAAAAAATAATAATGGCAGATGAGAAAAAATTGTTTCTTAAAAACTGTCACTATCCACTTGACTATTATGCTTACCTTCGTGACGATTTTTCATGATGAGAAAATACGGCGATTCCGGCATCCAAAAAAAAGTGAGTAGCAAAGCAATTGGCAACACACAAGCCACTAGAGCTGTCATTTTCACTGACAGATACGATCCGATGATGTTAATTAGCAGAACCCCAAATATAAACGTCACAGATGCTCCAGATGCAAGCAATCCTCTAATTTTAGCCTGGGATATTTCTCCTATATATATAGGCACAGACGAAAATCCCCACCCATCTGAAATACCACCTGTAAATCGCCCAATATACAAAATCGGAACACTTTTAGCGAAAAAAATCAGTATCCACGATACCAAATAAGGAAACGAAGTCATTAATATCGTTTTCCTCCTTCCTATATTGTCTACTAGTACAGGTGCTGTCAAAGAGCCTAAAAAAGCACCGAATAAAGGCATCGTTGCTAGCCAGAAACCTTCATCGTCTGTTATAGGTATTTCAGAGTTGGGATCAAGCAGTTTCGTCAAGGCGGGGGAAGGCCATCCGTAGTGAAGACCGCTGGATACAATGGCCAACAAAGCTGAAACATATATTTTGATTGTAATAACGTATGTAACATAAGTTTTGAGATAAATTTCGCAACTAATTTTTATCACTTTGAAAAGATTTAGTCTAGTTACCATTGCTTGGAATTTATTCAAGTAGGCCTTGTTATCATAAATATTGACAGTTGTTGAAAAAATTTTGTTACATGGCGTACAAAATCGAAATACGTAAAAGTATCTATAATTTAGTTTGTCCAATGCAAAATGCGAATATTATAAACATATTTGAAGGACCTAATATCTCCAGTGCAACTATTTACTATTTACTTGTTTGAACGGAGAATGATGGATTATATACCAAGGATTTCAATGTAGCTTCGGATAATGGGAAAATTAAAAGGAAAGCTAAAATTCTGGTGAGGTGTGCTATTTCTTCGGCAGGTCCATCGCAGTCATATTTAGAATATATTAGAGCAGAAGCCATCACTGCAGGTCTTTATATGCATAGATATTTGCCTAAATTGTTACGATTTATAAACAACCATCGCAATAACGATGAAATCATGTTTTGACCTGATCTAAAATCTCGTCCCTATGCCAGGCAAACCAGAGATTGGTTGGAAGCCAATATTCTCCCATTTTTACCCAGATAATATAACCCACCTAATTTACTTCAAGCATGCTCCGTACGAAGAATTTTTGGCCTTATTATTCAGGAAAGTTTATGATAATGGATGGAAGGCAGAAAATAAATAATTAGAAAGGATAATTTACCATAAGATTCGGGATATCGATGTTGCTACCATCCAATCATTTATGAAGTATTTGACAACAAAAATACGACGGGTACAAGACCATGGGCCGTTAGCTGCATTATAATTAGGGTTGCCAGACGTTACGCTTTTGGCCTGGCAGCCACGTTTTTTGACTTGCCTGCACGCTTTTTAAGCAAATTCCACGCTTTTTATGCAAATTCCACGCTTTTTAAAAGCCGCAGAGGAATCGGATTTATACAAAAATAGACCGGATAAAAGACCCTCGTTTGTACGAAAAATAAGTTGAGGACCTTTTTATTTTTTTTTTAGAAATGTGTAGAAATAATGTTCACAAAAAATGGATCTGATTATATAAGAAGGACCCTTTTTTAGAAATGGTCACGGTTCCCACGCTTTTCACTTCCAAAAATGTTGGCAATCCTAATTATAATATATTCTTATTGTTAAGAAATGGTGTTAATCGTTAACGGTTTACATAATTTAAATAAATCTGAAAATTTTAGCAAATATTGTTAACTTGATTTTTTTTTTCTTAAAACCTATGTTACATACGTTAATAAAACTAAAAGTTCATGGAATTTTTTTTATACCCATTATATTTAACCCTGTATAGTCTATGTAGTATCAGTAGAGGCTGTAGTAGTACCCTGTGCTTCATTTGTAATCACTATTTGCATGGCTGTAACATCCCCACCTTGAAATCGATAGCAATTAATATTTTAAAATAATTTAAAATCCAAAATTTTATTGTCTTCGCATTTATAAATGTCTCTTAACACACGACTTTCTATTAAAGTTAGATACCGGTCGAAACAAAAAAAGAATTTTGTACTTTTCATCAAATATCTCCAATATGGTCCATTTTTGGGACATCATGTTTATAGATAAGAACCTCATAAAAAATTTTTATTTAAATAATTTTATTCTCCAATCATAAATAACAGAAATATACCAAAAAGTACCAAAACGACTCCGAATAAAGTACTTCCCCCAGTTGACCCAAATATGCCAAATATCTAATCAGCATTTCAGGAAACGCTGGAAACTTTATGTTGCAAATCTAATAGAATTTTGCAAAAATGCATGTTACATTATTTTTAACGGTGGCAATTCTAAAATACTTTTTAGCAATTTGAATTTGTACATAAAACTTCTTAAAGTATGTTCACTAACATTTCAGAACATTTTTTCGAACTAGTTTTTGAGATACAGCCGCTAAGAGTCCACACGTTTTTAATAAAAAGGTTTTTTTGGGTTCCGATTACACCAAAATGCAAAGATCTGGTGTCATCTTAAATTCTAATAACTCCACATTTTATGGGTATTGTATCTGTATCTGTAACGTGTGAAGGGTGGGTTAACCCACATCACTTAGACCTCTTCTAATAAAGAGAGCGTCAAGCAATCGTAGAGGATATGCTTGATGGTCTCATATTCTTGTTCCTGCAGAGTGCGGATTCTGACAACCCCATAATATGGAGATGCTTTTGTACCTGGCAATAACCAGTCAGAATGCCTGTGATCAGGCGCAGATTATATGACTTATGGAAGATATATCTTTGTGAGATGGAGTCCATGTTCGCTTGAAGCAGTGGGAGGGTATTAAGCGCCTTTTTCCAGAGGCGACGTCTCGCCTCATCAGATCCACATCAGGTTCTATTCAAATCGTGTGGACGCGCGTCATTGTCATCTGAGTAACCTCCTTGATGTAAATATCAATTATAGTAAGACTAAAGGCATTTCTTTATAAGCTTACCACAACATACTAGAACATACTTATGAAACCAGAGCAATTCTTTATAAGGTTTGGTTACTCTGATGAAGTCATATGTTATCAAAGCAAATGTAGTATGTTGTAGTAAGCCTATAAAGAAATGCCTTAAGAATGATTTCTATAACTCTGGTCGGTGTGGTTTTCAGATGTGATAGCACCCCTTCCAGTGGACATCACATTTTATGGGTTGGTGGAGAGATTAATAAATATAAAAAATTGGCTGTAATTATTATATTTGTTGTCGCCAGTGATAGAGGATCTAAAAAACATTTTAACCGAGTCTATTATCTTTATCATCCAATCCTAGAATAGAACGCTTCTGTATTTTACTAATCTAACAACAATAATTATGATAAGAAATAATTATTAAATATTATGCTAAAAGTTTTATTAATAATAATAATTTATTGGTATAAATGTTAAAATGTTGCAACACCTAAATACAGATAACATTTGACATGTAATAAAGTCTTAATATTGTATGTATCAAATAAAATATCACCATGCATTGTAAAAAGATAACATTTATTTATTTATATTTTGTAAATATCATGGAACATGTTAGAAATTAATGAAGAGTTCCTGAAAGCAATATTACTCAAAGATAACATTTGGCGACGACGCAGGTAATAAACGACACACTAAATAAGCAACGTTATGCCAACGATTCTAACAGAAGATTTAACACCATTGGTAAATGCCCTAAGTACCTTAATTTACAACAACAACATTCAAATACAGTCAAAGATCTTCAGACACAGATTTTAACTTTCGAGTATTTTGATGGAACCTCATAAAACTTCGATAGTTATCAACAAAGGCTGTAAAATGTTTTCAAAATTAAAGGACTTAATAAAGATGAACCTGAGACAGACGAAGCTAAAGTAATGGTTCTGATTAATTGCCTATTAAGTAAATACTTCTTTTAAATTTAACGGCTCCGGATCTTCCTGCAGAATTAGTAACGCTTTTAAGAAACCAGCTTAATTCTAAAATAAATATTTTAACAGAACCACACAAATTTCTCTCAAAATCACAAAACTATGGTGAGCCTCCAGCTACATATGTTGCTGCATTAAAAGAGCTGATCAAAACTTGTGACATAAAAACAGAATGTAATGATCAAAAATGTGCAAGACCCGTTATCAACTTTCTTTTGCGAGAACAGTTTATTCGAGGTTTAAATGATACAGAAATACGTAAAACAAAATTATAGCAGACAGATATCTAAATACCACCGAAAAAATTAAAGGGGTGATTCTGTGATGAAAATTAATGTGAGTGTTTGGTATAAAATTTTTTGAAAAAACCCTCCCCGGAAAAGTTACACCCCTTCGAAAATTAAAAAAAATTGTTTTTCTTTTTTATTTTCCCTGTATATCAAGCTAAAGACACGAAACTTGGTAAACATTATCTGTCAATAAAAGTACACTTTTTGAAAAATTTTCAACCCTGAAGTATGCTTAGAAGAGGTTGAAATAATCAACCCCTAAGATATTTTTTCTTACAACTTTTTTTTAGATGAAAATTTTTTCTTTAAAAAAGTATGACTGAAAAGCCCAATTCATTGACTAACTTTTTTATCTCTACAAGTTTTTTTCGAAAACTTAAGCATTTATGAGAAAAAAATAAATAAGCTCATGTAAAATAGCATTTTATTAAATAACAGCCAACCAAATTATGATTCTTAAGACTTCTACAACTAAAATCAAAAGTGAACAAACAATGAACAAAAACCTGTCGAATATCGACAATACAATTATAATAAATGTTGAAAATGACCACCTTCAGCTTCAATACAAGCATCTACCCTTTTCCTCATAGAATTGCGTATACGATGAAATATTCCTGGAGAATTTCTTATAGTTTCACACCCTGCTACAATGCGGTTTCGCAGATCATCGATATTTTCAACTGGGTTTTGTATATCAAAGATTTCAGATATCTCCATATGCAAAAATCAAAAGGATTAAGGTTAGGGGAGCGGGCTGGCCAGTTTACAGGTCCTCCTCGACCTATCCATTGATTGGCATACACCTCATCCAGGTGAGTTCTTGCACGTATACTAAAATGAGCTGGTGCATCATCGTGCATAAACCATAAATGTTGCCTAATTTAAATGGGAACCTCTTCAAGGAGATGACAATATGCTTCACCATTTAATCGTAGAGGAAGAAAATGGGGACCAATTAAATGATTATCAATAATTCCGAGCCACACGTTTAATAAATAAATAAAAATAAATAAAAATAAATAAAAATAAATAAAAATAAATAAAAATAAATAAAAATAAATAAAAATAAATAAAAATAAATAAAAATAAATAAAAATAAATAAAAATAAATAAAAATAAATAAAAATAAATAAAAATAAATAAAAATAAATAAAAATAAATAAAAATAAATAAAAATAAATAAAAATAAATAAAAATAAATAAAAATAAATAAAAATAAATAAAAATAAATAAAAATAAATAAAAATAAATAAAAATAAATAAAAATAAATAAAAATAAATAAAAATAAATAAAAATAAATAAAAATAAATAAAAATAAATAAAAATAAATAAAAATAAATAAAAATAAATAAAAATAAATAAATAAAAATTAAGTATATAAACGTTGGAACCTCACAGAGAAATGTAAAAAAAGTAGAAACAATGAAAAAAGATAAAGTTCATAATAAAATTACATTACAAACATTCTAATTTGGAAACTATTTGCATTATCTACTTGATATTTTTATTCACCTTTCGTGTCTAGGTTTCACAATCAAATTTTAATTTGTACCCAGCGAAGCGGGCGGGTAATAACTACTATGATTATAAAACTGTCATGTTAGAAAAAATAGTTAATAGTTTCTGAAAGCAATATTACACAAAGATATAACAAATATTCAATAAATTTTTTATTAAATGACTAAAAAAAGTAAAAGCAACACAGTGTTGTTTAACAATTTGGATTGAATCTTCTACAATTTAATAAATAAATAAAAAAAATAACGTTTACCCCCGCGAATTAAGAATAGGTGTTTTTACGCCATCTTATTTTTATCCAGAAATCTACTATTAAAAGATGCTTCAACCTTTTTGTGACATCTTGTACACAGGGTGTTCCATCTCAGACTAGCCACCCCGTAAATTTCTTATCCCATAGTAATTGGAAAAATTTACCGATACACGTCGGATGATTTTCTTTGGGGGACATCTTTTGACGTATATTTGAGGATTAAACGAACAACCCCCTAGGAGGGGGCGCTTCAACCCCTCAAAATTGGAATTGATTTCAAAATTTGTTGAAACAGGTTCAGTAATGGATAAAAAAGGGCACCCATTGGAATTGTGAATGATGAAGGAACAGCTGTGGCGGTATTGGGCCATGTCCAACTTATGCCAAACACGCAATCTGTCCGACAACTTTCTGCAGTTTCCGGTATTGGCCAATCTAACGTTTTCAGAATCTTACATAAACACAAATTCCATCCGTACAAAATTAAATTAATTCATGAATTAAATGATGATGATTTGGATCGAAGGCAAGAGTTTTGCGAAATTATGGCCGAGCGTATCAACAATAACCCAAATTTCTTGTACAACGTATTTCTCTTACACTCAATATCCGGAAAAGCTAAACGTTTGGGTAGGAATTTTGGGAGACCACCTAATTGGACTTCTGTTTATTTCTGGTAATTTAAATGGCGAAATTTATCTTGAAATGCTAGAAAATGCGATTGATCTGTTAATAGCAGAAAAATTAGAAAACGATCCTCTACTAATTGAACAGCAATTTCATTTCCAACAGGACGGAGCTCCTCCTCACTACGTCGCATTAGTTCGCTAATACCTCAATTTACAATACACTGGTCGTTGGATTGAAAGAAGAGGTCCTTTGGAGTAGCCTGTTCGCTCTCCTGACCTGAACCCTCTGGAATTCTTCTTGTGGGGACATCTTAAGTCCAAGATTTTTGTGACTCAGTCTGAAAATTTGGAACTACGCCAACGAATTGTAAATGAGCGTCGTCAAGTAACTCCAATTATGCTGGACCATGCTAGAGACGGTTTTCAGTCAAGATTGTATTATTGTATGGAAGTCAACGGAGGACAATTTGAACATTTGATTTAAAAACGCAGTTTTGATTTTTTTGCTTGTAAACATGATAAACCAATTAATTTTTTTTAAGAATGTGATTTTTTCATACACCGTTGTAAAGAGACTTCCAAGACCTTACAAATGAAGTATCACTCAACCCCTCTTCCCTATTCAATTTTAAGGGGTTGAAGCGCCCCATCATAGGGGGTTGCTCGTTCAAGCCTCAAATATACGTCATAAGATGTCCCCCAAAGAATATCATTAGACGTGTTTCGGGAAATTTTTCCAATTACTATGGGATAAGAAATTTACTTGGTGGCTCGTCTGAGATGGAACACCCTGTATAATAACTAACTCCTATTGATTTCTAATTCTTTTTATGACAGTTGTTTATGTAATTTAAACGTTTACTTACCACTAAGACTAGCGAAATACTGGAAAAACACACCACCATTTTCGTTTTTTAAAACATCACTAAATAAATTCATGTTTAAAATCCAATTTTGCACCAACTAACAAACAAAAAACCGTTTTCTTTTATTCTAATCTGGTTAACTCCTAAATTATACCCAACATGGCGAATATACATTAAAGTAAATTAGGGAATTTACTGACAGTAATCAGTAAATGTTTAATGTGTGTGTAGATATATTGAATTATAGTGAAAAACTACTTAAAAATTAATTACCACACAAAAACAGTTATATTCTGTTTTTTCTTTGTTTGCATAATTATTGAAACATTTGTCAGATTATATCAGTAATCTTTAATACACAATTTATTAAATAATGCCTATCAGCTTATATTTGGAAACTGGTAAATGTTAAAAACAAAAAGTAGGATAATAAATAATTAAATTTAAAATAAAGATAATGAAGATACTCAGTTTGAAAGTATACAGGTCAGGATCTGGAAAATCAAGTTACTAACTAGTCACTATAAAAAATAAATCAAAAAATTTGGTTGATTTCTTCTCAAGTAGATACGATCTGCATCGTGTTTTCCTAGACGTGTTCAACTGTAGGCCATAGAACTAACTGTAGCCACTATTTTGAAAAATGAATTAAAACACAGTATACAGAGAACTTAGGAGCTGAAATAAAAATGAAAAAAGGCATTTGTTGTGGGTGGGTGAAAGAAAAATGAAATTTAAATTAGTAACATGATTTTTCATTCATAATATAGCAAATATCAAGTTTTTAACTGACTTTAAAAAGGGAGGAGGTTCACATTTTGTCTGAATATTTTTTTTATCTATGTTCAGAGATAATTCCTTACCATATTGTCCGATTTCTATGATTCGTTTTTAATATAAAGTGGGTATCTCAGGGGTTGTCCCATATAAATTTGGTCAATATCTATTAACATACTCTTCTTTGGCCTATTGGCATTTTCACATCAGTAGTTTTCTTAACATAACAGTTAAATATTTGTAATATTATAATACAATACTTAAAATATAATACAATGTACCTTTACAGATGCAAATAAATATTAAAACCGCAAAAACAGTTTTGTTCTGTTTTTTTCTTTATTTGCATAATTATTGAAACATTTGTCAAATTATCAGTATTCTCTAATACACAATTTATTAAATAATGCCTATCAGTTTATATTTTAAAACTAGTAAACTTTTGAAAACTTAAAATGTTTAGTTTAAAGTTTAGTTATAAAGCCCTTTACCATTAGATAAAGTGTAAGGTAATTTTTAACAAACTTAAAAAAAAGGAGGTTCTCAATTCTTCGGAATTTTTTTTTGTTATGTATATTCAGCGTTACGTTGTCCAATTTTATGATTCTTATTTTGTTAGAAAGGGGATACCTCAGGGGTAGTTCCGTATACAATTTGACAGGATCTGATAATCTATTTGAAAATCTCAATTTTTAAGGGCATCTACACGATTTTAAAGTCGGTTTTTTAATTTTTTAATTACTTTTATAACTTGTTTTCTCCCAGATAACTTAGGGTCTGTCTTTTCACCTTCAGATAAAGTTCCAGTTAACTAACCAACGGATATATTATCCGAGTGTTACTATCTGACAGATAATTAGGTTTCCGTCTTTTCAAGAGAAATAATCTATAGGGTAGTTATCTGGTACTTTTTAAAGTTCTGTGGTCATATAACTACCTTAATATCAATGCCATATATCACTCTCACTTGTTGTCATTATTTCGTCCTGTCACAAATTTGAAAGAATATTTTTATTTAAAATTCCATAAAGCAAGTGGCAAGAAAAAGAGAGTGACCAACTTTCAATAAGCAAAAGATTGCTTGAAACACAAAGCAGTACTGCAAAATAAAAAACTGATTCTGTGGTATGTTGTATTGTAATTAACACAGATTGTTCATTTGATTAAATTGAATTTTTTTATTGTATATGTGTGAATATTGATGCGAATGGCATTAGTTTGCACTAAAAAGGCTGTTTGTTTTTATTACCATTTTGTCAAAAGTAAATATACAATTATATGAAACAAATAGGCAAACCACTATTTAAAAAAAAAATTCAATAACGTACATAAAAGCAAAAAATAATATGTTGACTCGTATCACACATTATTATGTCACATACCTACTTATCCATCAGTTAACTACTTTATCAGGAAGTTAAGAGGTAAGATAAGTTATCTTTCAGATTAGACCGATTTATCTGCCGTTTAGCTTTATCCAAAAGTGAAAAGATGACTTTTTAAGTTATCTGGGAGATAACAATTACCTGACACTTTATCTGAAGGTGAAAAGACCGACCCTAAAAATGTCATCTTTTCACTTTTGGATAAAGCTAACTTGCAGATAAATTGGTTTAATCATTGGTCGGTCTTTTCGTCTTAGGATAAAGTTCCAGTTAACCAACTAACGGATATATTATCCGAAAGTTATTATCTTACAGATAATTAAGTTTTCGCCTTTTCAAGAGAAATAATCTGTAGGGTAGTTAGTTATCTGGTACTGTTTGCAGTGCAGTCATAATCACGTTATTTTTAAAATCTTCTAACATTAAGGGTCGGTCTTTTCATCTTCAGCTAAAGTTCCAGTTAACTAACCAACGGATATATTATCCGAGTGTTACTATCTGACAGATAATTAGGTTTCCGTCTTTTCAAGAGAAATAATCTATAGGGTAGTTATTTGGTACTTTTTAACGTTCTGTGATCATATAACTACCTTCATATGTCACTCTCACTGTCACTTGTTGTCATTATTTCGTTCTGTTACAAATTTGAAAGAAGTTTTTGTATTTTTCTGAAAATATTTGTTATTTAAAATTTCATAAAGCAAGTGACAAGAAAAAGAGATTGACTAACTTTCAATAAGCAAGAGATTTCTTGAAACACAAAGCAGTACTGCAAAATAAAAAACTGATTTTGCGGTATGTTGTATTGTAATTAACACAGATTGTTTATTTGATTAAATTGAATTTTTCAACGGTGTAGTTTTTTTATTGTGTATGTGTGAATATTGATGCGAATGGCATTAGTTTGCACTGAAAAGGATGGTTCTTTTTATTACCATTTTTTAAAAAGTAAATATACAATTATACGAAACAATTAGGCAAACCACTATTTACAAAAAAAAATCAACAACGTACATAAAAGCAAAAAATTAGTATATTATGCAACGATCATGTAATGATGGTTATTAATACACGAGCATTAACCGGGATACGAAACGAGCCAAAGGCGAGTTTCGTATGGTTTATGCGAGTGTTTTAATAACCATTACATGAGAGTTGCATACGCTATTTTTTCTACACCCGATAAATAATCAAGACCTATAAATATTATATTTATATTGGTATTGAACACAATAACAGTAATTACTCGTATTTCTATAAAAAATTCTACAAAATTGTAATTAATGGTATTACTTCAGGTATTGGTATTTCCCTAGATTTTTGCGGTAAAATATTTTGTACTGTATTTTCTGCTTTCTCCGATATGTGTGGAGGAGTCTTCTATATCGCTAATATCAGACATTTTAATATTATAATTATCGAAGTTTAGCTACCTACGAAAATTTAATACGTTTTGACAACTAAAATAATTACATAGGAACCTAGGACAAACGTCAAACAGCATGCTTGATTGAAAAATTGTAGGTTTCTATTGATTAAAAATCTGTATCGTAATGAAAAATCTGTATCATAATGGGTATCATTATGAAACGGATTATGGGCATATAAGTGCATTATTATAATACGGGTGTAGAAAATAGTATATTATGCAACGATCATGTAATGATGGTTATTAATACACGAGCATTAACCGGGATACGAAACGAGCCAAAGGCGAGTTTCGTATGGTTTATGCGAGTGTTTTAATAACCATTACATGAGAGTTGCATACGCTATTTTTTCTACACCCGATAAATAATCAAGACCTATAAATATTCTATTTATATTGGTATTGAACACAATAACAGTAATTACTCGTATTTCTATAAAAAATTCTACAAAATTGTAATTAATGGTATTACCTTGGGTACTGGTATTACCACAGATTTTTGGGGCAAAATATTTTGTACTGCATTTTCTCCTTTCTCCTATATGTGTGGAGGAGTGTTCTATATCGCTGATATCAGACATTTTAATATTATAATTATCGAAGTTTAGCTATCTACGAAAATTTAATACGTTTTGACAACTAAAACAATTACATAGGAATTTAGGACAAACGTCAAACATCATGCTTGATTGAAAAATTGTAGGTTTCTATTGATTAAAAATCTGTATCATAATGAAAAATCTGTATCATAATGGGTATCATTATGAAACGGATTATGGGCATATAAGTGCATTATTATAATACGGGTGTAGAAAAAATAATATGTTGACTCGTATCACACATTATTATGTCATATACCTACTTATCCATCAGTTAACTACTTTAATAGGAAGTTCAGAGGTAAGACAAGTTATCTTTCAGATTAGACCGATTTATCTGCCGTTTAGCTTTATCCAAAAGTGAAAAGATGACTTTTTAAGTTATCTGGGATAACAATTACCTGATACTTTATCTAAAGGTGAAAAGACCGACCCTAATTTATAAAAAATATTGTTCACCTTTTTTTAATTTTACAGAGCCAAATAGTGTTTTAAATTTTATATTTATTTACATGTAACTAATGTTAGTGCTGGTTAAATAACTTGTATAAGTTGAGATAAATAAATAAAAACAAAACGTTCTGTGGTCATGTAACTACCTTCTTATCAATCTATTTATGCGTGCGATATATCACACTGTGAAAATGGAATTAAAACCTCCAGAGCTCCTAAACACAAAACTAAACTTTGCAACAGAGGTGAAGTACCTAGGTCTCAAGTTTACATGGAACTCGCATTTAGAAAACAGAGTTAAAAGAGCATACATTGCTTATGAACAATGCCGCCGAACCGTGGGGCGCACCTAGGGTTTATCCCCCAGAGTCGTTGCATGGACTTACACGGCTATCATAAGACCCATGCTAACATACGATGCAGTTGTCTGGGTACCGAATACCCAAAAATTTACAGCTATCTGTAAACTAGAACAAATTCAAAGAACAGCATGTCTCAACGTAACAAGGACCATGAAAACAACACAGAGCAGAGCCATGGAAGTCATTCTTAGTCTCACTCTCCTTGATATTTACATCAAGGAGATTGCTGTGACGACAATGACACGTCTCCGCACGTTTGGAATAGAACCTGATGTAGGATCTGGTGAGGCGAGACGTCGCTTTTGGCAGGAGGCTCCCACTGCTTCAAGCGAACATGGACTCCTTCTTACCGACATATATCTTCCATAAGCCATATAAAGTTATAATA